CCCGTTTTCGACGGGCTTTCATCTGGTATAAAATTCATTACTTTCCCTATTCGCAATTATAGCGTTACCCCCCCGGAAAAAAAACATTTTTACGCACCCTGTACATACTGATCTAAGTTCACAAACTCTTCTAAATATAGAGCGACATCTCCTCTACACATTGACAGCAGTCCTAGACCTTCATCTATCTTGGTTCAGGAACTGCAGGCATTCTCCAAAGACTCGTGTGTCGGCTAAACGTCGAGTTTGGGAGTCCCCAAAATACTTGATATACAGGTTTATAAGCACATTGTTGTTATAAGCATTGTTTATTTTACTATAACATGCAAGCTTTTTGTCTGTTGTTCCTGAGGCGTAGACAAGAATAGCTGATGCTCACTCTTACGTCTATACTGTTTAACATTCCTATTTTAACATCTTAGTTTTTTGTGTTCATAATCATTGTAATTATGCGCAAGGGCAAAAGTTATTCAAAAGAAACAAAGAGAATAATATTTAGAGTTATTAATTTCGTTGAAAATGAGACAATGGCCCTTCGATTTTTTTGTGTAACACAACAGATCGTCTAATACCAATGCTTGGACTATCAAAACATCATTATTCGAAATAAAAGGTGAACTGAAAAATTTAGAGAAACTTGATCAGAATGAAGTGGAGGAGGATGATGAAGAAGAACAGGAGCTCCTCCCAAGCAGCAGAGTTGTAACTGGGCCGGCATGCCGGCCACCCCAGTATAAAAGTCTGGATTAGCCGGTCTTCACCGATCTAGAAATTGTTTTGGACCAGCCGGTTTGAAATTTCATGCTAGAGAAAAATAAACAATGCCACATTATTCAGCGTGCTTAAAAACCTGTATATCAAGTGTTTTGGGGATTCTCAAGCTCGAGGTTTAGATCTATGTATCCCTTATGTCCAGCATAATCTACGTACGGAACCAGCCAGGCAGAAAAACAGAAAAATTTTATTTCTTATGACCGTTGACTTACAGTCCAGGGAATAAATATTACCAACAGTGTCAACATTACTGTCTTACTTTTAACTTTTTAACTTATTTATTTACAAAATACTCACAGACAGCTTCATTTGTTTACGAATGTTTGGAAGTAAAACTTGCTGGATAACAATGGACCTCGTCGAACAACAGGTAAATGCTGCTAGCAATTTACTTAAATTATTTTATTTATTCACACCTTCGCTAAAGCAATTTGCAACTGAGATTCAACAAATGAAAAATTTTCGTCGAGATATTGATATTGATAGTACTGATTTTAGTAGCATTCTTCAGTACATCCGTAACAATTGATCACATACGTCTGTTGAAAAATAGTACGGTGATTACACAAAAAATCAACTACACAAAAGCGTTGAAAGTTCAATTTCCATACGAAATCAAGTCTGTCATCAAGGGTTCACATTAGATAAGTATGCACAATCTCCTGAAACATTGAAAACATTAGCACAAATGATTTACTGTGAAGAACTAATACTATGGAAAATTGATGAATATCATTTATCATCGACGACATTGACATTACCACACCCTTTACTAGAAATAACTTCCAATATCGGTTTACTATCGTGTTCGTCCACACATGACGAAGAACTAATGGATTTAACTTTATTTTGATAATTCTGATTATGTAATGGCAATGATATATTATTCACGAGCACGCTGCTGTAATCCTTCGGATTGTGAATTATATCATAAACGTGCTCAATGCGAATTAAAATTGCAAAAATATGAATTTCACCAGTTGCTGAACAAGACTATGAGTAGAAAATAAAGTAAAATGATATTCTCGTTTCTCTTTATAGAATGCGAAAGCCGACGAGATGTTATAATTCAGGGTTTGGTGTTAAACACAGAAAGGGAAAATGTTGAAAAGGAAAATGTGGAAAAAAAGTAGGAAAACGTCGAAGAGGAAAACATATGCATAGAAAACACCGAAAGACTTGATGTCGAATTGGAAAGATGGTCAGCAGGAAAAGATCGATTGGGAAAATGTCGCGGGATATTTTTATTGTTATTATACTAGACGATAAAAAAATTTCAAATTAAATCACAGAGAAAAGAAAAATGGATGTAAATATCAGTTCCTGATCTCATTTTTTTGGTCCGGCGAGTAACAATCCAAAGCCATGTAATAGCTGCTTTGCATTGATTTCATTTTCACCCCTCACTCTCACCCTCACTATAAACTTTCCGTTCCGTATCAAAGTAGGGAGCGAAAGCAAGAGAAAAAAATCTATTTTCTTCTATAGTTACATATGTGGCAATGCCTACATTGCGATATCTTTTGAAGAAAGAGATAACTCCTTATTTGCTAGTTCTCTAATGTAAAGTCGTAGAATGACTGGATTAAATACTGTCTACATAGACGATCACCCTCGATGGAGAAAGTTCAGTCGACGAAGATAAAGGAATGATTCTGTTCTGGTAACAACCAATAACAACTGTGAAGATAAAATAACATAAGATATAGACATCTTTCATCTACATTTGACTTTCGCTATTATCCTTTTGATGTTTTCCTCTTAATTCTCTTTCTTATCCAACACTGTTTCGCGATCGATATTTTCCTTCTCATTGATTAAACATTTGCTATTTGTCTTTTCGACCTTTTCCTACTTTTTTGTCGACATTTTCCCTGTTCAACATTTTACTCTTCTGTGTTTTCCGCCAATCCCATAATTTAACACTGGTATATAAGTTTAAAGCTTTATGAAACGAGTAATAAGACAAATCAAAGTGCTTCTTTTTTCACTTTTCACTTGTCTGAAATTTTTGTTGTGTTAAATAGCACTAAATACTTAATGTATAGACTGTCATCTACATTATCAACGAATTCTCTACAATAGTTTTCTATCTATTTTCAAGTCCTAATCTCCTCTATGAATGTTTTAGAGGTTTTTGTTAGCAACAGTCATCTATAGCACCATATTTCCATTATATTTGTCATATACACATATCGGAGATTATAATGTTTCATAAAATCCTAGTAAAATCTATCTAGTATGGGAAGATGCTATAGTGAGAATTAAAAGTGAAGAAACAAGCTTTTTTCATAGATTTATAACAATACCATATTGACAAATATTTGAATAACAGATTTGAGCAAACAGGCTGTTTCCAACAATAGTGGATTGTCAGCTTCGGAGGAAATGCAACAAATAGATTATTAATATTAGATGACAACGGCAGGGATGACATTTAACCTCAACAACCTCAAATGTTTGGGAAAACTTGAAAACCAGCTTACTTTAGAGCAGAAAACCAGAAATACCTGAAATTTTTAGAGTTTTCGCTTTCGAGATATGGTGGCGTCCATATCTACTGCATATTTTAGGGCTTACAGCAAAACTCTCATAACTGTTGCTAGACAAGGTTTGATAAGACAATCGTGATCGCATTTGAAAGAGAGAGTGTACTTGAACTTTGTTTTATGCACCCAAAATGTCTATAAAAAGATCATGAATACATAGGACAGCACAAAAAGCCAATAGCCTGCACCAGAAAGTGCAATCTGAACGAAGAAAAATACAAGCATGGAAAGAGAAGAAGGAAAAAAGTAGCTCTTTCAAATTTTACTGACACAACATATTTTTCGAACCATTCGCTTTTCTCTTAGATAAATGTTCAGAAGAAAGGATACGGAAAACTAAATACATTCGTACGTCTATGCAAGAGTCATATTATTTAAACTTCAGTTTTTCGAGAAAACGCAGCTGTAATCATTGAATATCTTGAATTCTCATTATTGTTCTTGTTGTTTGCTGCATCGAAGATTTGAGCGATGATTGTCGTCGAAGAATTCTCAGCAATTCTTGTCGAAATATTTTACCACTTAATGTATAGATGAAAAATATGACACTGTTATTAATATATGATACGATAGCTGCAGATTGAAAGGTGAAACCTTCAATAGCTAATCTCAAGGGTGATTTTGTTGTCATTGACATTGTCAGTGTTTGGTACAATTTGCTTAATGATATCGGCAGTATACATATGGTGACAGTTAATACCTCAAAGAATACAACAAACACTATTAATACTCTGATTTCAAGTAGTTCAATTCAGACTTACACGCAATAGACTCGGAAGTACTTCTGAGCACACACGTTCACTATGCCTTTATATTGTATTAAAAATTCCTCTTATCGTATCTTCTTCTATCACGACTTTAGGTATACCACTTTCTCACAAGTAGATCGGAAGCGACCTGAGAATTTTGTACAAGGGTGCTTCCAAGCAGCTCCGCGCACTTTACACAACATCATGTCAAAGTCCACTAGATGAAACTTTCACAGCTGCTACTACTACATTGTATAATAACAATCCCCTGTTCTTTTACGTACTTGAACCAGCAGCATACTAATTATCTGTAAATCACGTTGACGTATTTTCGGTGGTTGAGTAGTGGTTCTCGTCATCGAGACTTCAAAGGCGGGAACCGTTCGTCGACGAGTCTTTTTTATATTATTTATTGTTAACACGCCAAAATTAATCATAAGCATGGGTGGCAGAAGACAGCAAAACAGCAGGAACAGGACACTGTCAACCACGAGACATTCGTAGTTTTTGGCATAGCACAATAACGGGGCTTTAATTTGATTTGCATCAAAACAGTAAAACACCTGACCATATATCAAACACCCAACGGCTAAAACTGCAGCAATGGAACGATACACATTTTTTAAATTACTAAGATTTCTGATTGAAACTCTGGAACACGTTGTTGCGTATCGGTCCGCACAGGCCAAAACAATGAACCATAAGGATGTCGCCTCAGACATATACAAAGTAAAAAACCGTATTTTACAGACTACAGGCTCGAACCTTGTTGGATCAGCACCAAATCCGTTGAGACAACGAATCAAGAGACCAGAATATAATTCCAAAATATCAGCAATGCTTGATGATAAAAGATAAACAACACAGGGATTGTGTCTCAAATCTCGTCTGGTAAAAACAAACACATTGAGCAAACTTCCTATCGTGCCAATGAATAACAACGGGATTGTCGCATAGCGGTTGAGCTGGACCGACAAATAGTTGAGATAAGATGGTGATGCGCCCATTCAATGCTGCTAAATCAGATAACAAATTTTAACTAAAGTATAGATAATTTCTTTAAAAAAACAGACTCTAGTGGTATTCGCCTTACTTTTTAGAGCTCTGACAAAAATTGAAATGCTGTTCTAGAAAATAAAGAAATTTACGTCATTTTTATTCATAGATGATAATAATCTTTTGTTTTCTGTTCTTATTTTTGAAAAGCATTAAATATTATACATCGAAGACAGCCCCACGGAAGAATGAATTGAATGAAAAATTATAAAATTCCACCCACCATTCATTAAAATTACGATATGCCACGTTTAATCTTCTTTTTTAATATAAAGTCGCTTTTGGACATATTTCTGACATACATTTCTAACTTCATTTTTTTGCAAAATTTGTCTAAAAGTTTCTGAAGGTTCTCAAGTGATAAAAACAGAGTTCTTCATCAGAGAGGAACCCTGTGGTGGAGGAATTGTTCCAAAAGAACATTCAAATAGATATTTGTTGTTAGTTAGAAAAAGTATATGACAATACCAAGCGTCAGCAGAAATCACAGGTGTAATTGCATTTTTAAGTGAATACAATGGGAAAAGAGTATCCAGTCCTTGACAACATGTTTGGTGTTTTCCATTTAAACATGAATCTATCCATCTCTACAAAACATAAATATATACTATCTATATTACACCATGGAATGTTCTGGAATATCCTGTCATCTTGGAGTATTGCAGAACATCGCATCATCTAATTTCAAAAACGTTTTTTGCGTGATAAAACACTTATTATGAAAAACCAATCCTGGTTGCAGAAATAAGCAACGTGTTCATAAATATTAAGAGAATAAAACGCGTGTACGATCCTGAAGCTAATGATGTAATATCTGTTACTAGAAAGGAAAGAAAAAACACGATGGAAAAATCGGATGACTGTGAAAGAATTCCCAAGGATAAATCAGATGACTCTGCTACTCAAGATATCTAGCAAATCAGCACGATGAACTTTGCTTGTGCCAAGAGCACAAAACAAAAATTTTGTTTGTTTGCTTATTGTTGAGTAAAAGTATATATTGCAAAAAAATGAAGTTAGAAATGTATGTCAGATTGATGTATGTCAGAAATATGTCCAAAAGCGACTTTATATTAAAAAAGAAGACTAAACGTGGCATATCGTAATTTTAATGATGTCTTGTTATATGAATAAATTCTTTGAAAATATATTCCGATTGGTCGGTCGTTACTCCTCTATTCCCTTTATTAATGTGTGTAGTTGCAGTTTATTGCGTCAACTTTACAACTCACAGAAAAATTAACCAAAATGTACTTACTGTGGTTTTTACGTCCGTCTAGAGTACACAAATTATACTCCGTGCACCGATGAGCTTTAGCGAATAAAATTGTCGTTTGCTGATATTTTCAGTCCCTCTTTGATTATTTTACTTTTAACTTTCTCATATTAAATTTATTTGATACTCGCTAGTTAGTGTTATACACAGAGAAGAAGATAAGTATGGGCAGTAAATCGGTGACACTCTACCATGACGTGAAGAGAAAGTCTGGAAATCATGGTACTCAAAAAGCTCATCTAGCTACTGAATATAAAAGAAAATAGTTTTTTAGATGTTGATCGTGAATATCGAGAGCCACATATCTCAAAAACTAAAAGGAATGTTTTCTGGAAAATACATAGTACTTCATACTGGTATAAAAAGTGGAAATAGATCCCTTCTAGTTAATTGAATTTTCATTCGGGGAGTTGGCATCATATGGGTAGTTTAAGTTTACAGTGAGCACTGCTTCTTTCGAACATAGAACAAATGAATGTTTCGATAAAAGTATAAAATTTTCTCCTCTTCTCATGTAGTGTTTCAGACAGATAGCGCAAAACACACATATACTCAAGTGTAAAAGAAAAATCTCGAGATTCGCTTCTCTGAAAAGAACCTATCAAGTTTTAATATGAATGTCTTCTGCGTTTCGCTATTTTTAAGAATTAATTATTGCAGCAATATAGATAGTTCCACAGCATTATAAATGGACATTAGAAAAATTGGTGAAAACAGTATGATTCATATTATTGTTTGCCGTTCTACAGAATCGTTTTCATAGACATCCGTCCGCACGGCCTTATTCGGTACATATGACGTTCATCTTAAAATCTTTGTTCATAAAACGACATGAAATTAAAACGAAAATACTTTTTCCCAGCAATAATCTGAAAATAATCCGAAATATTTGTAATTATTTCAATTAAAATGAATGTTTTCAATGCTAATGTAAGATCTGTCACGCGTTTTATCATATGATGATAATTACGTGTAAGGGTGACGATGAATGGAGTGCCTGTTGTTTGACTTTGAAATGGTTCATTCAGAAGTAAGAAATCTTTTTTAAAACGGTACAACCACCGAAGCGATGCATACACTTGATGTCTTTCTTCATGACTGTTTCCGGGTGGAGCTCCGTAACAAGAAGCAACCAAATTATTAACAATTATTGTCCCACTTAACGTTGGACTATATATTCCTTGTTTAGTTTCAATCGAAATATTTTTAATACCAACCAATTCAATAGTATTGGTAGTTGTATTTCGCACATAAACTAAATCATGTGATTTTATGAGACGGGCAGGAATAAATTTTCCATCGTAACCATATACACCAATGAAATGATCAGGAGTTAAAAACAACCGATTGTTTAATACAGTTTCGATAAGAAAAAATTGTGCTAGAATAGAGAAACAGACTTTCTTATAAACAACACATTCTCAACTTTTATTAAGGGTATCCCCCTCTTTTGGGGCATTCTGTAGAACTGTTGTGAAATAAAAACTAAAAGTTTTCGCTTTTTCACAACACTTTTTCGTTTTTGTTTCACGTTTTCAGCTATTGTCGTTCACCAGTTCTTTGGAAAACTCGGTTTTTCATTGTGCGCCATTATGACCTGCTTTAAATTTCATCCGATCGAGTTCAAAATTTTACCGTAGATACTTAAGATCATTCCGCAGGGATAACTTTTGGGGAAATTCTTTTGAGACCTTTCCTGGTCGAGTTATTGGAAAAATACTGAAAAACGTCTCAAAAACCAAGTTTTAAATTTTAGAAACTCTATAACTCGGTAAAGAAAAGCCTAAAATAAAATTCCAAAAAATGACCCCTGCGGAATGACCTTAAGTATCTATGGTAAAATTTTGAACGATCGGCTGAAATTTAAGACAGGTCGTAACGGGGCACAATGAAAAACCGAGTTTTCTAAAGAACTGGTGAACGACAATAGCTGAAAACTTGAAACAAAAACTAGCGACTGTTAGTTTTTATTTCACAGCATTTCTAAGGAATACCCCAAAAGAGGGAGGATACTCTTAATTTTTCTTGAGTTGGTAAACGTTTTTACTACTATTGTTGCCAAATTATGATACATCTCGTCATTATTTGACTAATGCTTCAGCGAGAAGAGATACAGACCTACGGTTTTCGTCAATGTGTAGTCAACACATAGTGATATCTTTTCTGCACTAAAAGGTTTCTGAAAACCGGTTTTCGAAGTGTTGCAGCAGTCAAGTCTTTGAAGGAGTAGATCGTGGCTCTAAAAGCTGCCATCGAGCTCCATATATTTCTCATAGAGATATTGTGGCCTAAAGTATCCTCTACAAAACTGAAACTAAGTGATCTCTTCATTTTTCAACGTTCAGCAATCAGGGTTCAATCAGCCGATTGACGATCATCCTCGTGAGATGGACTACGAAAAGCGGCAGATATTTGTTACGGTGCTATGTAACGTTTTCTTTGACGTAAGTTATTTTGACTTCATCGATGATGAGAACTATGCCTACTATGAGGCGATATAAAACTTATTAGTGTACACACCCTAAAATTTTACGTTGTGGATTTATTGCACTGTAGAGAAGTTGTTTTTCTTTTTTTCTTTACTTAGTAAAATGACATTTCGTCTTCCTGCTCTGAAGAACGGTTGTGCATAGAAAAGCTCTTAAAACATGAACAGGGAATCAGTTGCCGACTACCAGCCAGACGAAGCTCGCTTTGTAATTTCTAATTTAGCAGGTCTTTCACATAAGCCCCCCTATCAGACACGTTTATAAAATATCATGCATTTCTACGTTTAGGTTCAAGTAGCTTCGAGGTGAATATTTCACTTCAACAAGATAATGCATCATTCAGTTAGAAATAATAACACACTTTTTGTTCTCTTTGCTTCCGAGCACAGCTGAGATTTGAAGATTCCATTCTAAACTCATTCGATAGAGAATTTTCTACTCTACAAAATCCATTACCTTCTCTCATTACATAGTATTTCATTATTTTAAAAAATAATGCAGAGTAGGACAGGTAACAAGTATAACTGCGATTTCCTATCAAAATTTTGGCGGCTTTTCGTTTTTACGTAACTTTTTTAGAAATAATGTGGTAATTGAGAGAAGAAGGTGGTATAAAAATGTTAAGCGGTTTGACGGCTATCCCCAGCACTATTTTTCAAAATAATGAAACACTATGTAATGAGAGAAGGTAATGGATTTTGTAGAATAGAAAATTCTCTATCGAATGAGTTTAGAATGGAATCTTCGAGCCTCAGTTGTGCTCAGAAGCAAAGAGAACAAAAGTGTGTCATTATTTCTGGGCCACCTGTTAGTTATGTAGTGAATGAACAAATGAGCAAATTCTACACCAAAACTATTGGAGATGATCCTTTCTCATGATTTAAAATAAGACACTCATATACAAGCGACTACCATGTTCTATAGAAGTATGCATGGCGCCGTTAATCGAACCTTTGAAGAGGCTCCACCAGCTCTAACACTGCGGTTATATTTAACATGCATTTTCTCAAAAATCAACCATGCTTGCTCAATATATTACTCGAATTTATTTTACTCATATTGAGCATCTAGAAACAGTTAGATGTCGAGCCTCTAGAATTGTTTCCCGTCATTTTGATTACTGATATGAGAGTAGGTTTATAGTAGTAGTGATTTTATAGCAGCTCGGGCCTCCAAATCTGAGGGTCGGCGTAGTTATTTTCGCCTCATAAATTATTATCACATTTTAAATAATGATTTCTTATTGCAGAGATTTGATTTAGTAGAGCTACAAACGAATCATCGCTTCCAAACGCATTCGGAATCACCCGCGGTCTGTCGAAATCCCTTTCACTCCGTTCGAAATGGTTAAAATCTCGGTCTTCTGGCAGACACCTAACAATCGGAATGACTTACTAACCGAACATTTGGTTTCACGAGGGAACCTCCTGAGGTTATAAATCGCTTTTGAACTCGGACTACTTGTATCTTGTAGACCTCAGTGAGTAGTGAAATACCCTAAGTTGGTTCATCCCCATGGTGCTTTGTTGCTGAGATATTGAATTTTTAGTCAGTT